ACCGATTTGAAGCGAGTCTGTTGGCCATTGTTCCGTTGTGCCATGTCATGTGCTTATTRTTCTCTCGTGATAATTTGTGCGGCTGYGTGATCTTTGTAGCCCAGAGTAAAAAAAAGTCGTCTGAACTACTTGCTAATGGCAAAGTCAATATCGCCGCAATTGTAGGTGTTCTAACTGGTTCAATAGGCTCGCACGTGGTGCGACTAAATATTTTGTCGGCCTCTTTTTGCAAAATCTGCATGGAGAAAAGCGAGGTGGAATCATTTAAGCAYTTTCTTCTCCATTGTTCAACTTTATCCTCACTAAGATAAATATGTATCTCGGTAGCCACACTGGCGGCGAACACAGGGAAGTGGGTACGATTGATATTTCGGCCTTTGTAAATTAGTCGTAAGCTCAAAACATTTCGTCGATCTATGARGAAATGGTGATACATTTTTAGGATTTTTTGGGTATCACCAAAGAGAAACGATCACAGCTGTCCGAGTGAAATCCATCGCTGCCTTTGACGCAAGAGTCAACCCTATGGCCTAACCTAAACAAAGAGTTGCAATTACTTTATAAATTTGGTCATCCCCTAATCCTGTTCGAACTAATATTCTAAAAGATGTTCCGATTATCCCTTCTCAAGCCCTGCAGATGAGTCGGAAAGCCATATCCGAACCAAAAACAYTAATTTTACTATTCTTCGCCAAAAGATAATGGGTGTAAATTTCGTGCCTCAATTGAAGTAGTTAACATTTACATAAATTTAAATAAGTGAACAAAGTTGTTGCCACAGACACTAAGGAATAAYAGTAAAATGCCAAAAGAAATTGCCCACACAATAATAATACATTGTATCACAAGTGAAAATTAAATAAAACGGCGTTTACATTTGAATGATTTGTGTTCGTAATTTTATTGCCATATTTACAGCGATTTAATGTTGACCTTGAGCGACATAAACCTCGTCAGCCACTGCCTTGGGCGTCAATAAAGCACACGCATGCATATTATTGCCTTCAAGCACTTTGTTGCCCGTAGTAATCGACTTAATGTCGCCATGTGTTGGCCTTTTCACAGCCCGCCACCCTTCACTGMCGACAACTGCCAGCTTCAAATTACACTCTAGTGTCTGTCGAACGCGTAGTTCCAGCACCTCCATGTGGTCCTTGTTTATATACGACACCCCACATAAAAAACGCCTGTGCATATTTACATTGATATGTGTGTGTATGTATGTAAGTATCTAAGTGAGTTTACATAAAAAGTCTGCTGAGTCACACAACTGCATACATACCTTTAATATATTTATATACATACATATCTCAAAAATTATCATAAATAAATGCGTCTTTGGCAATTTCTTCGCTTCTCCTCTATGCATTTCCACGGTAGTCGCCTCTAAATGGAAACTCCTACATGTAAGTCTTACCCACTAAAATATTTCTTGTGTCCACAAGCTCATCGTACTTTCTGCGAATACATAAAATGCTTGTTAATATGTAAATAGTTTCAGCGTATATGTGTGTATATGTAGTCCATATGCATGTATGTCGCCAGCTCGTCCGACACACTTAGCACTGGCAGCCAATGCCCTCGGTCTGCGTGTTTATTGTTGTCTTCGCCTCTCATTGTTGTATTTATTAACATCAGTAGAGGTATGCGTGTGCAGTGTTGCCACATGATTGAATTTTATTTGCAAAATGTATTTATCATATTAATTGAATTTTGAATTAATAATTAAGGAAGCGCTAAGTTCGGCTATAGCCGAATATTTCATATTCTTGGAATTTGAAAGAATAAAAGGCGGGGTAATTTCAGGTATATAAGGCTTATTAGTGATAAGGGCGTTAGAGCAAGTTTTCAGCCGATTTAATTCATTCTAAGCAAAAATATACAACGTTATTAGAAGAACACGGTCTCTCAATTTTATTAAGATAACTCACATATTGGCCGATATATGSGGAGCTAAGGGAAATATTGACCCGGATCAACCCATTTGTAAHACACAGATATACCACWATCAGGAAAGGATTCTCTCTGAATTTCAATTATATACCTCACAAATTGAACGCTATTYTCTGTAAAAAGTCAAAGATCCGCTGGTATCTGCATATTCGGTACTTGGGCTTGAACGGTTTTGGTTTGAATTGCATAACTTTTGTACAAATTGAACAATCAAAAATTAAATTATCGTGTGAAAAATTATTTTCAGTTTGACAAGACGTTTTCAGGATATTTTTCATGAGTTAYTTTCCAAAATAAGCATACTAACTTCGAACAAATTGTTCAGATCGGATCACTATAGCATACATTGTAGCCGCCACACAAAACCATTGATCCAAATCAAGTTCTTGTATGGAAACTTCAGTATTTGTGAAAGTTATTCTTGCTTCGGTTCAACCGATGTTAAYTGCTTTGCATGTTTTTTGACCTGATTTTTATTAACGAACTTTACTCGGCTTTCATTTCGGCTTTTGGTAAGCATTCAGTGGCCACACGCTTCTGACAGAAATGTATAATTAAATGTGTGTTGAGTTGAGAATTCTATAGAGATGTTTAGATTCTCTTCTGCTTCTCTTTTGCTAACACGGCAGTCTTTGAGCACTTTTCCATTCAGTTTTTTATGCTTCTCTTGGTAAGAGCTCGAGTGCTTGATGCCACTGAGAAAGAAAAACATTTTCCAGATAGTTTCAATAGTTTTATAGAGAATTCTTATAACATGAATCACCAGATATATTTATGTTATAGTATTCAATAATTTCAATGGAATCTGAAGGTGTTATGATCCAAATTATTCTTGTATAGAATTTGTAGATATTTGAAAATTAATCAATTGGTTATATAACGAAATATAGCTTACAAGGATTCCCAACAAATTTAACTTACTTACCTGACAACAATGTTGTTTTCGAAACAACAARCAATATTTTCATGAYCATGTTTTTTTTTYATGATCAATATTTCTATACACTCATGGTATAGTGGCTCAAGCACAAATTTACCGTTTAGTGAAATACACGACAATTTTCAGATTTTCAAGAATTATATATTCCCTTATATGATAATCACACTAAATAAACTACATATTAACGAATTAAGCCTACGGTTAAAAACTCAGGAACATAATCAAGGGATTCCGCTACATTACAGCCTTATTCATCTTATCTTGTACATCTGTACATCATCCATTTATTAAAGTTTATCTGACAGCAAGCAGCCTATTTGCAAATATGTATGTAAATATATATATGCGTGAATTTTTATTTCGCGCCATGACATCATTAAAGCTCTAAATCTGACATCAATTGAGAGTATGATCAAAAACCGTAACGAAACAGATACATTTAAGATGAAATGTATGTATATATGTATRTACTACTTATGAGCATCACGAGCATGAGTTCACTCACAAAAAATTTCTTCCATCWATCAGCAATCAATTAGTGTGTTGAAATGTTCTGCAAAATATTCAAATTGAAATATGGTGAATTTTCATGAATTGAAGTGTTCGGAGACTTCAATCAAAAAGTGATGTAGTCCGGTAATACCGCAGTTGAACTAACGTCTCTTAGAAAAAATTGTCAAAGTTATSTTATGAGAGGAAGAAGAATTTTTTTGTTAGAGTCCACATAGTGTTTAATTAGAGAAATTAGCACGCGAGAATTCTTTAAGTTAATATTTCTTGGAGATTTTTGGTTAAATCATCAAATATTTATCAAATATAAATTATAAAATTTTTTWGACAGATTTATATGACTGAGAAATCAATTTTTTTAACATAAGTTATAAGTTTCATCTATTCCAGGTTCTATGAGTTGAAACGATAAGCAATAACATCTGAATTTGACCCAGTCTGAGAAAAACAACAGGCGAGTCAATGCCAGCTTGTCATTGCTCAATCCGATTTTCGATACACTTTTATTGTTGGGATGGCCTTCTGGGCCTTCAGCGCATATCTCCAAGAGTCTATTGAGCGTTACCCGAAGAGGAGTTTCAGTTATATAAAACATAAAATAGTCACAGAGAGCGAATACGGGGAAGGTATAACTGTCGTTTCGTGTTTGGCCAAAGAATCGTCTTAGAGCGTGACGGCTCTTATTGTGGTGAAGAATTCATGTTTACACCTTGAACTTTGCAAGACTTTGACGTCGCTTTTTCGGTTTCTGCTCATTCTCGATCGCCGTTCACTAGATTATTGGACAGTTTCGAAGTCATATTATTTATAGACCCACGACTCCTCACCAGTAATAATGTGTTGAATAACCGTAGGATTCTCAGCTTCGTTTYCAAGCATCTCTTTTGCGACTTCTACTCGACGCTGTTTTTGCAAAAGATTCAGGTCTTTTGGTATCGATCTACCATTGGCACGCTTTATTTCCAAAATATTAGCAGAAATGTGTTGAGTCGGTTCAAAAGAGGGATTGAGATGCTCTGTTATCTTTATGATGTTAACTCGTCGATTTTTAAACACTGGTTCTTTAACTTTTTTGTTATTAGATCGTTATAAACAGAGCTTGATGGTCGCCACGCATTATACAATTTTTCGATGACTTCACAACCTTCACTTAATGCTTTGTGACTCYTAAATRCTAGTGTTCATGATATGCTGCTTCTTCTTTCTTTACTGGTGTAGATACCGCTTACGTGGCTATAGMMGAGTTAACAAAAGCGCGTCAGTCGATTCTTCTTTTCGCTATTTGACGCCAAACCGATATACCAAGTGCAGCCAGGTCCTTCGTGATCTCTCAAACGGAGTGAAGGTCTTCTTCTTTCTATGCTTCCTCTGGTGGGTACTGAATCGAAAACCTTAAAAGCTGGAGTGTTCTCTTCCATCCGGCGCTTTTGAATTGTTTGGAAGCGCTATAAAGCTTAATTTCTTGCAAAGCAGGCAGCGTTGTTATATTTTATTGACTATTCTTATTATTATATATTATTAATAAGGTTATTTTTTGTATATACACACGTTTATCCTGAACACTTTATTCAAACTATTTTTCTTTGTTTACTTTTAGCTCCTTGCCTTGGTGTTAATTGCGTTCGGCATTTATGTGCTCTCCTCCTACAGAGTCAATGAAGTCGGTTCTTTGGCCGCCTATGCCTATATATGTCTAGGTGTTGCCACAATACTTGTATCTTTGCTGGGATTCGTTGGTGCGGCCCGGGAAAGCGTTTGCTGTACAGTTACRGTATGTATGCCGGAATGCCTAAATGTATTTATCACCTCATCCATTTTCATGTCATTCATTCATTTTCACCTACGCCTATCCATTTAATAATTCCATTGTATTTGCAGTTTATCACTTTTCTTTGGATTTTGTTGATCTGCCAAATCGCAATCACTTTCCTTTTGGTGAAAGGTGAACAAACAGTAGCATCGCATCTCTCGAATAATTTGGATGTGGCTTGGGAAGAAGAACTGAACAGCCCTGGAGCAATGTCTCTGTATGAGACTTGGGTAAGTGTTTAACGATTTTACGAAATGCATAGAGTGGGGAAATATACATAAATTCATWTCCTAAACAATGAAAACCCATCTTGCGACTAGCGATGTTGAGACTTCGCTCCCAAGCTTTCATTTCAAAGTTGAACCAATAAAATTAACCCAAAAGCAGGAACTTATACATTTGAGGGTTATTTACCTTTAACATCTAATCAAATTTGACCTGGACTGGTCCATTTAAACTGCAGTGCATCGTTTTTTTATCGAATCATTTGAAACGTTAAACGTATCCTACGAAATCACTACTAAGGAATCGTTGAAAATTTTGCAGAAGTCTTCTGGAGAGTCTACTTTGTCACGATTCAAAGTATTTAAGCAATAAAGGTCGGGGACTCATCTTGYCTCATATCGTCCATCCAACTCCCTTAATAATGACGGCATCAAACATCTTCAAGAGACAGTGCTTTAAAATAGTCTTGTTGRCATCAAARGGATAGSAGAGGATCTCAGCATCTCTTATGTAGCGACCCAACACATTTCGGTTAATGTTTGGATATAATGGATGTCAATGAACGTGTCGTACCAAAAAACCTGAATCGTTTTGAAAAACGAAGTCGAGTAGAGGTCGCGAAATGGATGTAGCTGTGGACCCTACTTTCATCAAATGCATTGTTACTGGTGCTCCAAAAATTCGTTGAAGACACTGAAGTCCACCCTAGTCGAGGCTTATAATAAGCATATAAGAAAATTGGTTTAACTCTTGGCACGCATTTATTGGCTGAGGAGATTTTTTTTAAGGCGATAATAAAGATTTGTATTATAATATTGTATAGAAATTGTCAGTCCGGTTCAAATATGATCAAGTTGTATTATCACTTCCTCCTTCATATAAGTTGTTTATTCCACATTGATTTCAAGAAGGCCATAATAAAGATTTGTGTTACAATATATATAATATTAACATTCTGGTTGAAATTTGATCATTTCCACCTTCACTTTCGTTTGTTTACATTGATTCCGAGTAAATTATAAAACACATATTCTTTATTCGTTGCAATCTACGATTTTGGTTTAATGACATGGAATTCCCGATAAGGCTGATTGATGGTGCACTACCCTAAAATATTTATACACTATGCAATATACTTATAAATATTTTTAACATACTAAAACATTTTCGTTGTTTTTTTTATTTCGACAGCTCGGCTGTTGCGGTCGGGCCAGCCCACACGATTATATCGTCAATGATCGCATGCCGCCAATGACGTGCTTCAAGAATGGCGATAATACGAAGAGTGAAAATCTGATCGGCACCGGCTGTCGCATAATGTTTGAGAACTACTGGCTGAGCTTGTTGCGTGCCTTCAATATAATCGCTTGTGTGATGATTGGCTTGGAGGTGCGTTCTTACATACAAACACTCATACATAAATATACATATGTGTACTAATTTTGTTTTAGCCATCTATTCAAAAAAAAAAAAAATTCTTTTTTTTTGTATATTTGCAGTTATTGGTTAGCGTGATCTCGTGTTGCCTGTGCAAYAGCATACGCAATGATCATCGGCGCTCCTACTATTAACCTGACTAAGCGCCCAGTGTTGCCCGGCGTTAATGTTTATACGTAGATGCTTGTTACTCTGCTATTATTAAACAATAATATAAGAATAATTTTGAAATCGATGTCAGCTAAGTTGGTAATATTTATTTTACTGACTCTTTTCGAACAACTCTGCACCCAAAAAGTAAAAAAAAAAAAAAATAAATAAGAGCCCAGTGTTGCCCGGCGTTAATGTTTATACGTA